TGGCAAGGCAAGCAACCTCCCACAGCCAGGTAAATAGATTGAGAAAGTTTTTATTAGAAGAGATATTTCTGCCAAAATAAATAGTTCCATTCTCTTCATCAAAACATTAGAAAAAAAGAAACAGGAAAAAAAAAGCATCAACAATTTAATACTGAACTTTTATAAAGAGACTGAGAACACTACTTAGTGACAGTGTTGTGTAAATACATGACTCACGTGTGCTAGTGCTGGTCGAGTTGCTGCTCTGACATCAGTGATTTCCACAGGATCTCCACGGGCATCGCGTGCCTACGGGTTTTCTCAAACTCAGGGACAGAGCCCCAGGACACCTTTTGCTCAAAGAGCTGCTTTAGCTGCTGTTTTCAAGAGCAAAAGAAAACCCCAAAATAAAAAACCTTCTTCTTCCACAGTTACATTTCTAAGTCTTGTGTTTGGAACTAGAGGTCTTCCCAGTGCAGGAAGGCTGGTGTGGATCACACAGCGAGACAGAGGCAGTTACAGCCCGTCCCAGTAGAGCTGCCGCACATTGGAAACAGAGCAATGTCCCACCCGTAGGCAAGGGGAAGGAGGGAGAGGAGGAGGGGAGCAAGTCCTGCTGCATTTGGGAAGGCAGACACTGTGGGGACACAGAGGGCAGGCAGGCCAGAGCCCGCTGCAAAGGCACAGGGCATGTTTGGCACAAACCTGCTGACATGGCAGCCAGGTGAGCTGGTCCATTCTCTCACTCATTCAAGGGAAGAAGGAAACAAAGCTTGAAAAAAACTGCTGGCAAGGCCCTCTGACCTGTCAACCCTCAGCCCTGCCACCCACCACATCTAGCGTGTGTTCAGCAAAAATGGACCCCCAAGGGAAAGACACAGAGTTCAGCTATTTCTGCCACAACTGCTTTGGTGAAGTGAGAACTCTTCTCTCAGAGGAAGGAGGAGATTACTTGATTAATTTTTTAAAATGGACAAAACCACTGAGGAATATACAATGAGTGCAAGGGACACCCCAGTGCTGGCAGAGAGCAGATCCTCTTTCATTCTCTGGCCTCAGTGTTGCAGATACACAGCCCTCCAGGAAGTCACAAGAAAACAATTCCTAGGTCCTATAGACAGTGGTCAGAAATGAAGTATTTTCTCCTGCCCCTGAAAATCAGCTTGCAGGTAGCAAACCAAGCCCAACATACCACACACACCTTGCGGCTTACAGAGTGTGCCATGGATACGCGCTGTTGCGCACAACATAAGACAGCCCCACAGTATTGTATGGATTAGGGGCAGGTTAGATGCCCAAGGAGTTCACCTCAGCCTTGTTAAAAAGCAACAAGCAGCATCTGTGTCACAGGAATGAGGGGGGAAAAAGTGGATTCCTGAACGCACAGATCCTTTACGTGGAACAGTGGAAATGGCGACGGTTGAGACTCTTACAGAGTTCACGTGAATGCTACAAGAACGGACGTGGACTGCAAGATGAAGGTTTGGTCCAGGACCCTGACCTCTCAGCCACCATGTACTGGAGAGCAGATAGGCCCTGGCAACCACCCGCTGGGCTGCCCAGCCACACGTTTTGCTGGAGAAGGGACTGTTACAGTCAGTTACCTTGTTCCAATTAACTTGACAAATGCAGGTTAATCAGCAGCTGCTGCCCAGAAGGTAACACATGCCATGAGGTACATGTAGAACAAAAGCTTGAAGAATTCCAGTTAGGCTATCACAATAAACCTCTCCACGCCCAACTTTGAGCCCATCAAATGGTTTCCAGCAGTTTCAAAAAAGCAGAGTCTGTTCTAGACAAGGCAGCACTACAGAACAAAAGCTATTCTCCAAAAGCAGCCACAGCCCTTTTTCCACATCAGCGGGCTAGGAGATCTTCCCTACTTTCTTCATCCTTTGGAATCTGTGATGGATGAGCAGCAAGAATTCCAAGCATATGCACAAAACTTCTCCTAAGGAAGAGGAGGGTAGTTTGGGGTATTTTTGACAGATCTGCAGTTCCTTTATCAGGGCTTAAATCTATGAAGCCAACAAGCTATCACATAACAGCCATTGCTTCACTTGGGGCATCAACACAGGAAAATAAAGCGTTAATGTGGAGTGGCGGTTTCCCAGTATCCATTCACACCCTGCAAATTAGCATCAGGAAAACAGAGTTTCCTCCAGGAAGAGTTAGACCTTTATATTTAAGGCCAGGCTTTGGCTTGTGGTTAGTTTGAAGTGTACAAAAGCTTCTCTTTGAGAGGTTAAGATAATAAATGACAGATGAGGTGAAACACAGAATGAAACTTGGGCCTTTTAGCAGGCACAGTGGTTAGTCTGTTGAAACGCATGGACCAGAACCAGCAAGCTTCTGGATAAGAGCACCAGACAGCAGCACCAGCCCAGCTGGTTCTGATGCAAGAGGAGATTCAGGGGGATAAGGGTGCCAAGCTGTAACTTCTTAGTATGCTCTGTTGCCAAGAGAATCCTATTTCATAGTCTAGTGGTTTACATAACCACTCTGTGGTTTGACCAGTCCAGGAAGAAGGGATAAAAATAATAGTTGCATCATTTTCTCCACCTGTATATTAACACAAACAAGGCAGAGTCAAAAGAGCAGCAGCTTCTAAGCACAAGATTTTCCTCATCCAGCTTTGCCCCTCACAGATGTTTTGCTTCTGGATGAAATTTCCTCATTTCTTGCCACTAAATATCTATATGTTCTTGCCAATTGCTCTATGGGCATTAGGGAAGAGAGATATGAATTTGGTAAACCAAGCAGCTGTGCATGCGCCATCCCCCCAAAGAAGGTAATCCAAAGCAATGGAAGAAAATAAATCCCACAGCAAACCACAAAACAAACACCTTTTCTCAATTCCAATTTTAATCGAATTCATTCTGCTCCCACTAACTGACCGTAGCTTGTTGCTGGTTCACTTCGATTAGACTTAGATCTACCTAGCAATAAGCTTCTTCCACAGGCTTCAGACAATCACAAGACTGACTTGGTTTATAATCCAATATTCTGATTCTGGTTTCGGAATCCTCAGTTTTTTCTCTTCCCGTAGCTAACACTTTTAGGGAAGTTGCTATATGAACCTTAAGACTAAGTCTGACTACATAAGCACAGGGCAGCTTCACAAGCTCTGCGGGCCCTTACACAGGGAGGTCACATCCAGGAAGGGCAGAGGGGTGATACTCCAAGTCACAAGTTCATTTTTGCCCCAGCATCTCCCAGTTGGTTACCACCACAGCTGCCCAGTCTATGCCTCACAGCTTGCCATGGCCACTGCAGGAAAGTCCTGATGCTTATCACAGTCTTCACCACAAACACCCAAACCTCCGCCCAGTGCACAATTGTGCTGGGAAGAAACAGCACCCACCACCTCACCCATGCTGCTCCTGCAGATTCACTGCTTTCTCCAGCCTTAGTAGAACTTCTGGGGTTATTTTCCCTTTCTAAATCAAAAGTGCAAAAGAGAGCCTATGATAAATCACTGCTTCACCTATAGGCTATGTAATCACCTTCCAATGCCCTGTCCCGCTCCCCAGCAAAGAGAGCGTACATTTGCCTTGGCCAGTCGCATGCTGTTTGTGCTAGGAGAGGTAGAAGACACCTCATGCAGCCAGGTGTGCTGCAGAGATACCAGGAGCTGGTTTGTGCCATCATGCAAGGACTTCAGCTGAAGTACATGCAATCCCCACAGGAAGCCACATCTCACCCTGTGAAGAAAAGAGGGTTCATGCTTCTGCACAGAGTCCTGCCTGCTACGGACCTGCTAGCTCTGGTATTTAAGGGACAAGACAAACACAGCCAGTTCCAAGTGAGCTGCAGGTGCACCAATATCCTGACTTCACTGTCACAACTCATCCTCCTGCTGTTGCCAGCTGCAGAGCTGTACCTGTGAGCCCCAACACAAGACAGATGAGCCTACATTCTGCTCACTCCAAAGCCTCCATGTCCAAACTCTCTGAGCAAAAGATAGAGCCAAGCCCTGGTTTGGCAGCCCTTCTGTATCACCCACCTGGAATTTCCTTCAGTCGTATGGTCTCCTAAGGGACAAAGCCTGACCCTCAGTCCAAGGTGGCCACTTCCTCACTACTTGCTGTGACACTCCACCACAAGCCTCTCAAAAAACATGCCCTGCACAATCTCACCTTCCTATAAGCACTCCACACTGCTTCAGCTGCTGAGTTCATCCTGCTCAGCCAGGCTGAGCTTCTCCAGGGCAACCCCAGAATAATTCCATTGACAGTGACAGGAATAGGGCCTCCAATTCAATATGTTTCTCTGGGGAAAAAAAACCTCCAAATTATTTCTTTAAAATAAGCTCAATGACTTACTCAGCACTCAGAGTTCAAGCTGCAGGAGTTCCATGAAGACAAAAATCAGCAAGGGAGAAATCATCACAACATGAATCACGGTAAATACATAACTCTTCTACATTTCTACAGCCCCAGTGCAGCCTGCAGCAGGGCCAGCTCTGGCTTCCAGTGGGGATGCAGTTAAGGGACAGAGGAAAGAACAGGGCTTCAAGCAAAGGAAGTCAAGAGGAGATTTGGAAGCCATGAGAAAAATTGGTTTGGCAAGAGGCTGCTTCATCTTTCAGTAGCACAAAGAGCTAAGGGATGTCAGATGATTTAAGAAGAAAACAAGAATCATTCTAAAAAACAAAGGAAGCTAAAAGCTGTATGAACTTGAGAGCATCATCTACGCCCTGATTATTGGGTGGTAAAAAGCCAATGGCATTCAAAGTGCATTATTTGGGAGAGCCCAGCCAGGTCAGCATCAGCCTGGCCACAGGCAATGGCCCAGCCTCAACACAAGCCTAGAGCAAGGTATGAGCCCGTGTGTGCCTTTGAACAGAGATCCCTCGCCTGGCCCAGTGGCCAGTCAATTCCACCAGTCTCCATTCCAGGGAAATCTCCTTTGCAGCATATTCGCAAGCACAGGGCAGCCCTGCTGCTGAGGGATGAGACTGGTCCCAACCTACCTCCTCGCCCCGTCCCACCCACCCTCATCCTCTCAGGGCAGCAGGCTCAGAAGAGTGGCAGACACGCTTTCGCACAGTCTAGAGGTGGAAGCTTTATCTGAAGGCCTTCCCGAGGGAAGAGGGAGGCCTGCAGGTCCACGTTGATGCAGAGTAAGCCCAGCATGAGCTGGCGCTGATACTCATCCCACTTCATCACGACATCAGACAGGGAACGACTGCTTCTCATCCACATAGGCAGCGCTTCAGCACAAGCCAGTGTAGAAGAAATTGGCAGGCTCTGGGGCCCTCCAAGTTCGAGGTGATAGTAAAGCCTGAAAGGCAAACACATGCAGAGAATCAGTACATGGGAAGACTTGAGCAGGTCACCAGAGCAGAGCTCCAGAACCACAGAGCTATTTCGTTCTACCACTGACTGCATGACCTTAGTCAGAAGTCTGTGTGTGTGCCCATTTTCACCCTCACACATCTTGATTATTCACCTTCTTGTACTAGGATCTGAATCACATCTGGGACCCTCTGCCTACTACTGTAAAACGGTTTCCTGTCCTCATCCAAGCAACACAGACTCGCCTCAGCCCCAAGCCATGGCCTGCTGCAGGGAGTTCAGTTCACAGGCACATGGACACACAGACCCAAAGCACTGTCTCATTTGGAAACTCTCCAGTGTTTCCTAGCCACCCTAGTGCCTCCCTCACTCTAAACCACACCTAGATCTTGAGGCAGAAAAGGCCATTTGAATACAAGTACCCCTTGGAACAAACTTTTAGTGGACCCTTGGCCACCTAATGCCACACAGACCAGCACGTCTGTCTTCCACAGCGAGCATGGAATAAACTGGTGCATTGTTTCAGTTCAACCTACACCTTCCACCCTACTGCTGTAGTAACAGCTTCATGGCAGAGTCTGCTGTAACTGGAAGAAGGAAGGAGGCCATGTGCTGAGTCTATTCCGATAGCTGATGAAGCTAAGAGACCATGGACCAGATCTGCATTTTAGGTTGGGCAGTAAATCCTTCTGGTCAGTTTGTGCCTTACTTGCTCTGGCCAACAGAGTAGGGTCTGCAGAAGTCAAAGATAGAAATGGAGAGTTCCTCCAGAATAGAGCTGTGGAGGAGAGCAGACATACCTGGCTGAGAGATGGTTGCCCAGTTTCTTCTTGGCTTTCTTCACAAGATAGTTGCAGATTTCAGTCATCTGCTCCCTCATCCATCTAATATCCTCAGGGATATCAGGAAGCCATTCCAGCAACCTGGGAAGAGACAGGAGACAACCATTAGTTGGGCCACACAAAGGACAAGACGGAAATAACTCCAGTTTTGCCTCCTATCAATGGTTACTCAATTTTTGGTGACAAATGCAGTAAGAGCCATTTACACTACCATTCACACCATGAAGGAGGGGAAGCTGTGAAAGATGAGAACAGCCCAGGAACTTATTCTTCACATTTTGTGTCTGCACTTTCTATATTTTTCATCCATTTTCAGATTTGAAAAGTGTTTTGCCCCAAGCCTTTCTATCCCAAAATATCTCCTCCCAGAAACTTTTCACAGGGTACTCTGTACTAAGAACAAGTCTGACAGACCCGTCTTCCCAGCCACATAAGCGTAGAGTTGGAAATAGCTGGGACTACTCCACCCCTTGCTCCAGAGGGGAACCATTGTGTGGTTCCTACTTTCATCCCTGCACTCACAGTTCATAAGTCTCTCTCCCTCCAGGCTCCAAAATTTATCACAATTTTCTAGGGCGAGTTCCAGCACACAGCCATCTTCCTTCAAGCTGGAATTATTGGCTGTAGCTAAGACTGGTGCCTGAAGTTTAGAAATATTTTTTTTTTTTTTTGGTATGTCTAGTAAGTGGCAGGATCTTAGAGAGGATTCTGCTCTCTGGTCATTCATGCTCCACCAGCTCCAAACACCTGGTTGCACTGGGAAGAAAACCACTGAGGGAACCTGTCAAAGGCTTACCTGACAGTGAAGGAAACTGCAGACTCCAGAGGCAGCATATAGGGGACCAGCATTGCTGTGGCCAGACGAATAGGCAGCATATTGGTGATACCAGTCAAGAAACTTCTTCTTTCAGCACAAGCCTCCAGAAGAGCTGAAGACAGAAGAGAACATGTCTGAATCCCTCCAATGGGAGTATCCTTTCCTTGACATACCCCAGAAGTTACCCAGCCTGATGTCTCCTCTCTCCACCTTCCACTTCTTAAGCAGGTCTCACTCAGGGTAGTACTTCTCTGAGCACAGCTGCGACCAGCAGCTTTTAGCTTTATCAGACTCCCAAAGGAGTGAGCATCAAGATCCCCTCCTCTCCTTACCATGCAAAACACTGTCAGCTGAGTCACCCAATTCAGCCCCCACAGGTAAGCCACAATTTTATCCGAGATTCCCCAAGTCCACCTAACAATCTGCAGATGCCAGTTCAACCCCAGGTATTGCCAAGCCCAGCCACAAGCAATACCCACATCCCAGTAATCCTCTGAGGTGGACCAGGTGACACAGGGAGATTGGGTCATACCTTGGTTCAGTCTGGGGGGCAGGTGTTCAAAGATGTGCTCTTCAACAACAGCAAGGGCAGTATTGTCCTGGAGTTGGTCCTCAGCTTCTGCTTCTTCCTCTTTTTTCTCTTCTGGGGGAGCTTCTATGGCAAGGAGAGGACGGGCAGGACTTGGACGATTAAGGAGACCTGAGAAGAGAAGTCATACTGTAAGGATGATACAAAACCAGCTGCCCTGCCTTGCCTGGCCTTCAGAGCATTAGTTCTCAGTTCACCCTACCACCCCCTCAGACTGACAGACATCACAGCCAGCCCCTTTAGCTTACATCCATTGTAATGCTTACCACAATGAGTTAGAAATCTTGCTGCTTTAAGATCATCCTCTTTCCCCATCAGAAATTCTAACTTCTCCCCTTTAAGTACCGCAGGGTGCTCTTTGGCAGTGTTTTATTGCTCTAATCTGCCAGTCACCAGTCTTGCAGGTAAGATTTCCCTCCTGCGGCTTCATCCACAAACACAGCTGCATGACTGTAAGAGTACCCCAGCAGGTACACATCACAGAGCACACATGTGCTTGAGCTGCTCTAAAGTGACACTAGGTGGCATCAGACACACACTCAACCTGCTACAACCACTGGAGGCAAGAAAGTGCTGTGGTTGCACACAGAAGAGAGTGAAAACAGACGCGTCACACTGCCAGGCACTGGGGGCTGCCGAGGGCACACCAGCACCACATCAGACATACCCCAGCTGCACCCAGGAGCAGGGTACGTGCAGGTCCAAAGACCACTGATGCCCAGGCCCTGTGCTAGTGTAGCACTAGGCACGTGCAGCTTCAACACTTAGTTGTGCCAAAGCTGCTGCTCTGGTATCAGAGTGGTTATACAGTCCTTCCACGTTGCACTGGAAAGGCCTCCACTCCACCTCTGCCTCCCAAAGCGCTAAAAGAGACTTATTAATGGAAATTCCATATTCCGATATCTGAGGCACAACGCAGTTCCGCCCTTCCACCTTTCCCATGCACCACCGGCTATCCTCAAATCAAAGACACCAACCCTGGCACAGAGGCGCAACTCAGTGCACCTTACAAACGCGCAGTGCCTTACCGTTCTTCTTCAGGAAGTGCAGTGCATCCTGATAGCCCTGCTTGCACATGTCCCGCAGCACCTGTGGGCAGAGGAAGGCAAGAGCAGGTCATTTGGAGGTTGTCTGGCTGAGCCTAGCAAACACCCAGCTCAGTGCCGGATTCAGAGGAATTCTCCTAACACCTCAGCTACCCCAAGGACAAGTCTCATCCTCACCAGCTCTTCCCAGGTTTTTAGCACGAATGGGCAGCATAACTTGAATACATCAGATATGGAAATCACAGCCTAAATCAGGCTGGAAGGGACATGTGGAACCCTACCTAAGTACAGGCTTAGAATTGTAGCCACCCCATTTCCCCATCTGGAGCTGATGCTGCTGTGGGCAGCCTCCAGCGAGTCCCTCTGACAAGCAGCCCAAAATACTTCCCAGCAGATGCCAGGAAGGGCCGCTGCATTTGCAGATGAAGCCAGCTAAAACCAGAGAGGGGGCAGGGAAAAAAACTTGTCCAAGTAATTCAGCACATGAATGCATGCTTATTATGCCCAAATGCCAGGGCTGCCTGAGGCTGTGTTTGCTCAGAGGCATGCAGAGCTGTCTGCAGTGCCACCTGCTCTACTGGCACTTTTTAGGAGACAGTCACCGGCTTCAGGCTGGCAGCTCCATCATGACCTTAAAAAAGAGCTCCTTGGTTCCAGTGGCTGCCACATCCTTATTTACAAGGGAGCCCAATTTCCTGGTAAAGCTGCTCTAGAGAGCACCACGTGGGAATACTTTCCAAGCAACTGCTACCACTCAAATTCCAGATCTCCCAATAGCAAAAGAAAATCAAGCAACCTATATAATCTTGTGCAGATGGTCAAGGTTTGCCAAGTCATTGGGTTGGCTAATGTCAAGGTTAAAAAACAGACAAACATAGATACAAAACTAACAGTGCCTGGAACCTTCTTCTGCTAAAGTGCAGAGTATAGCCAATGCCTATCTACTGTCCCCAAGTTCTGGTGCTGCCAGGAAACTCACATGAGGCTCCGGAGGAAATAGGGCCTTGGAGAGGCGGTAGAGGTTGCGAAGGTTGAACTGGATGCTTGTGTTGGTGAATCTCAGCTCATGCATGTTTGTGGAACCATCCCGTGGACAGATATCACTCTCCCCTGAGAATGGAGACACTGTGATTGTGTTCTTCAGCTCATATCGTGGCAAGTTGTCAGAAATACCTCCATCAACATATCTCTGAAATCAAGACAAAGGCAGCACTCTTCATTCTCGTAACTGATCAAGTGGCTTTTTCACTCTGTGTCCCTGTTTATATCTCTGCCAACAACTTGGGAAGAGAACAGAGTACATCCACCAGCACTGGAGGAGCCAAAGCCAGTGACAGCACAGCTATGTTGTCTATAACATCCTTTTGCTAGACACCTTTCTTCCTATGGTCAAGTGTGTTGGTTGCAATTATTCAACGAGAGAGGCACATTCACTTGTGTGACTGCTGCCCAGTTAAATAATATGACACACCAACAATCCCCTGCACTGCAAATCAACACTGATCTAAACTGTGACCTTGTGCTGTTTGTCACTTGTGTTTAAAACAAATAAGCTCAGAAACAGGTCCCCACTGGTGGACTAAGAGTAAACTAGGAGTTAAACTAAGAGTAAACAGGCACTCTCTTCCCAGAGAGTGTTCTGTACACATGTACCATAAACACATTTGTGTTACCCTTGAAGGAAAGACAACCGCAGAAGCATGTACACAGCATCCTTTGAAGTACCATGGTTGCACAAGGAGCTGAGCAAGACAATCCCTATCACAGGCCTTCGGCAGAGCAAGCAACATGCAGAAGAGAAAAGGAAGGGGATGTTGGTCAAGCCAAAAGAGCAGGAAGCTTGAGAGCTTTGCAGAGGAACAACTCCAGCTCTTGTGAGCATCAGTTACATAAGAGTCCTGCTGATTCTGTACTGAGCTGATCCTGCCATTTGCTGCCTGAAACCCTTCCCTTAGAAAGGTTCAAATGCAAATCATCATCAGGAGCTACACAGTGGGTTTCTTGAGGGCAAACTAAACCTCAGGGCTACCTCTGCTTAAATCCTACAGGTTCAAGGGAGATGGCTCATGATTAGAGTTGCAGGCTACAGCAGCACTAAGTGATGGCACAGGGCATTTCATCCTCACATCAGGAGTTGTTCACCAAACACAGTGTCAAGACAGACATGGTTAGTGACTTCTGCACCACCTGGGTTTGGGCAGTGAAGGAAGTGGAAGGATGGGATAGATTAAACTCAAGGAAAAGTACACCCTGTTGGAAACAGGAACACTCAGCTTGCTTACAGGATGCTTTCTAGACAGAGATGCCAAAAATCAGTTGAACCCTTGCCCCCTTTTTAAAGCAGCCATCAGTTTTCCCTAAGCCAAAAGCAACCATAGCGAACTGTCATTGTCACCAGCTCCCCAAAGCTGCTGGAGACACCTGACCGACTCCCTCTGCAAGGATGAAACCATGACAGGCTGAGTGGGAAGAAGACACAACAAAGCAGGCCGCACAGCGCCAGACCTCCACTTTGTTTAAAAAAGATGGAGTTGTGTTTTGGCCACTCAGTAAAGACAACAATGGTTCTGTGTTAAGGCTGCAGAAACACACGCTTCCCAGGGGTGGCAGCATGAGCTAAGGGATGCCATCAGAAAGAAGGCTCAGTTACAGTAAGGCTGACAGCAATACACATGCAAACCCTGCTCTCTGGTCCACCATTCCCCAAGGAACACTGCCACTTCTTTGGATTTGCCTGAACCTCCAGGAACCCAACACTAACAGCTCTCCAACCTCCTGCAAAGCCCCCAGCAACACAGAGCCACAAGCTGTACCCACAGCTGCTTGCAGGCGTTGAGCAGCAGCAGCAGCTTTTGGGGATGGTTCATGGACTGGGGTCAACTCTGGAGTGCCTAGTTCCATTCCCTTGTCATGTCCTCCCCTCCCTCACAGGGCCCCTCACTCACAGGAACTGACAACTAGCTTTTTGACCCTTGTTAGGGTTTTATCTCACCCACATGCTGCAGACAGTTCACAGCTCGCGCACATGTTGACAGGTCAGTTATGGACCCTTCCATTTCTCAGTATTTGAGAAGTCTCTTTTTCCCTCCCCCCACCCATCTTCAACATCTGATCCACAAAGCTACCAGAGCTCAGAGAAGTGAGCAGTGGAAAAAGATCAGGAGGAAGACAGAATATGTATTTTACATCTTGCACACAATCATATTGCCTTGAAAACTGGTCCTCATGCCAAGCCTGTCAGCCTGTCCTGTGGCAAATGGAGTCATCACACGCACGCTACAAACCATGCAGTCCCATTTCAAAGCCTTTTCCCATGCTCATACCCAACCTAATTCTACCTCTCCCCATGCCAGTCCTCCTTCACAGGCACAAAGAGCCATGATTTTCTGGGGAAGAGGTAGGAATCAATTTCCTCATCTCATATATTCCCTCCCCACCTATCCCCACAGGGAATCTTGACATGAGAAGTCATCTCTCGGTGTGCCAGGGCAGCTGCACATTCCAGAGACCCCGATGTTGTACACAGTTTTGAAATTTTGAGTTTTGCCTGATCCACGCTGACCTCAACTAGCCCCAAAGAGGTGCCAGGAAAGAGTCACTGTCACGCTCCCACCAGCTGTGGGACAAAAGCCTTGCCTGTGGTTGTTGAGCAAATGCCAAACCATTGCTGATTCTGTCACTTCTCTGCGGCGCTGGACATTGGACATTTCTTCTAGGTCATTTCCCTGCCCAACATGCTTGCACAAGACAAAACCAGCCAAGTTGCATATTATGCAGGAGCAAAACCGACCTCACTTCTAGGACACAGGTAGTAGCGGGAGCAGATCTGACGCCGTGCTCTTGCAGACTGAGGCATCCTGGCCAGGTCACTTAGGGGAACCAGGGCACACACACATTAATAGCAGTTCTCCCTCTCCCTTTCAACCATTTAGTTGGCAAACAGCCTTTTTATGTGCTCGTTAACCTGTGTAGCACAAGGGGAGTCCAAGCTCGACTGAGGCCCTCAAGCATGACTGCAATATTCAGAGATGTTCCAGCTCTGCACAGCTTTCAACCATTTTCACTTCTAAGGTGCAATTCAGAAGGGAGAAATTGCTCTGGATAGCCATGGATAGTATGTTAAAGAAAGCTCTAGCAGGCAGAAGGACATTATTCTCAGACGGACAGGAAGAAGTCCATAGAAAAGAGCTCTGGTATCAGCATCAATAGTTAAAACCCCACAAAAAGCATCAGACACGTGGGAGAGGGACTACACTCATGATTGCAGTCCTAGACCCATGTTCTTTATGCATTCAGAGGGTTGGAGCCTCAGTGACAGAGAGCATGGCACGGAGCAGCCAGAAGAACCATCTCCTAAGGCAGCCAGCACTTGCCCAGATTGCCATACATTACTATCACGTTAAATCCTCTAGTCTTTGGCACATTTATAGCCAACTGCAGACAGCAGCAGAAAGAGAGCACATCCACTGTTGGCAGTTGTTTACTTGGGAATTTCTTGTGCCTCTTCAGGCTATATGCTGCCAGCAGACAGTAAGACTGCCAAAACTGGGTACCAGCGTTTCTGCCTTCTTCTTCATTAATACACGATTTAATGAAGGAGCATCTTAGAGTCATACGTACCACTCCCCGCAAGGTTGGAGGTATCAGCCCACAGTAGACAGGGATAAAGGTGCTGCAGACACAGGCCTGAGGGAGAAAGAGATCCAGAATGTAAAAAGCAGATCAAATCCTAGTATTACACTTCTCAGAAGACCACACTGGCATGTGCTGACAATTATACGCCATTATTAAGGACATTTGGAGACTAAGGCAAAACAAAACAGTGTGCGCTTCCTGCCTAGCCCTCTGCAATAAGTTTCCATTCACCTGGATCAGCTCCTCCTTGGAGTTGAAATCTGACAGTATCACATTTTCTCCATCAGAGACACGTGTCAGGGAAATACCCAAACGTCCTGCCGCAACCTCATGCCCATTCTCTGGCACAGTCTTGGACAGGCACATCCGAATGGTCTTCACCAAGTTGAAGGATGGGTGAAGCGGGCCCAAGAACCTCTTCCGGGCTTCTTTTGATACTCGAATAATGCTGGCACCAGCCTCACCTGCAACGAGAGAAAGAAAAATGTACTGTGAAACCCTAGCAAAACCTGCCTTCTCCTTTACAAAAAGCACAGAAAAGCCTAATTCACAGCTTTACTCTGAAGACGAGAGGGTATTATAGGCAGTGTTATAGAAGTCATGGAAGTCTGCTGTCTTGGCCCTCTCATCACAAAGATCTGCCCTCATCTTACAGATGTTTTATAAAGTCAAGGAAGATGACATGCACCTGGCTAAGGCCTCATACTTTTTCAGCAGATCCTGTTTCACTGGCCAATGCAGGGCTGGTGAAAACACAGACTAACAAAGAAAACACGGAAGATGCTTTAACAGCTTTGAGTTGACGGCGATGTCTATTTCAAAACCTCTTCCACTAAAACTTTTCTAGTAAGCATCTTCTATTTTCTGACATGAAAAAAGTCATCTGCTTGTAAGCAAAAGTGCCAGTAAAGAGGAATGTCAGTGCTCTCCAGCTAAGCGATCCCAGCTCTGCTGCGAGTGTCAGCCATGTCTCAGGTGAGCAAGACAGACACTACGCTCCATTAGGGAATCAGTGACATAGTGCCACATGAAGTGTCCTTGGTGTCCTTTCTGTGTCCAACTCCACAGCACCACACGAGGCCCTGATGTCAAGCAGGACTCCCGAAGGCACGTCTGCTTTCCCCCTTCACACAGTGACCCAGCTGTGCTGGGAGGAGAGCAGACATCCCATCGGCACAAAAGGGAAGGCATCTGCTGAGCCCATTATCTCACGGTCACTGGGAGCCCCATCTGGCAAGAGCATCGGGGCTCTGCAGTGGGAAAGGAGGGATGGGGAGCAAACAAAACAAAAAACAAACACACAAGCCAAACTCTCAGAACCCAGCATGCTGCCTGCTGCCCTTTGCACACACCAACTGCTGCTTCCACAGGCATTTCCCAGCCACAGTGATGTACACGACAACAGCTCCTCTGAGCACCAGGCAACCGCTGCACTCCCAGGGGCACGGGGATTATACATGTGGGGAGAATTAAAGAAGCCAGGAAAAAAAAGAGACGTGCTTTCACAAATCAAGACTTCTCTCCAATCAAACTGAAGTTCTGTTCTTGGAGAAAGATGAAAGACTATGAGCTCAAGCCAACAGGGAATCCCTCTGTTTTGCTCTCCCACCCAGTCTTGCAGAAAGAATGAAAGAACCCGAGTTAGACCCAGGTTAATAAATAACACTGAGATAAGAGCAACAGCACCCTCAATGCTATATTGACACATCCCACTCTTTTGCAATGCACGTGTGCCAGAAACACGTTTTTCCATCAACACAGCCTGGGAACGCAATTCTGTGCTTAGGAAACCATCAACACCAGTAGCCCAAGCACGCACAGAACTGGACCCTTGACCATGACCAGAGACTCTGGGGTCAGGATTTTAGGCACTGTGAGGTAGCAACTTAGCAGAAAATCCAAATTACCCCCTCTGAAGCAATTTTTAGCACTATAATCCCAATCTTTTGCTCTGTCCTAGAGCAATGTTTAGCAGTTTAATTCTGATCTTTCTTACTCAATTAGCAGTAAGCCATTGAGCCCAGCCTGTTCCAGATAGTAGCCACATGGGTCAGCATCCTCCCCAACACGAAGGAAGTCAGCCTCACAGTAATCACATTTCAACAGCACCATGACATTAGCACACTCCCCAAGATGCCTTCACACCTGGGAAGGGGAAGAAGGCACACGGAAAATCTGCAACAGAACCAAAACCCAAATGAATTCCAGCTGAGCCCCTTGGCCACACACCCCCAGGGTGCATTGCAGGGAGCTGCTGGTTTAGCTGAAAAACCCAGTGGGGAGGTGGGTGTTGCAGCTGTGGGGGAGATACCCTGTGTGCAAAGGCCATGCTGGGGCTAGGGGGGGTGTCACCTGAAAGATGGGGCTTACAGAATGATGCTTTCAGACACAGCATCTCAGTGTGCAGGAAGACTTTACACAATACTGAAAACAAGTGCAATTAAATTGAGCTTATGGCTGTCTGAGCTAAAACATGAGCTGGAATTTGGCTGTTTTGTTTTTCTTAAGCAAGTCCCAACTATGCCAAGAAACAGGCAGAAGGGAGACTGCAGGTGCAGCTGCCTGCTCCTATCACCACTTCACAGCCAGGTGAGGCAGGGGGACAGAGAAGAACAGAGGACAAAATAAGAATTATTGCTAATTAGCAATTTCATTCTTTTAATACTTTCTGGGTGTTTGGGTTTTGGGTTGTTTGTTTTACATGTGTGTAAACACGCACACACTCAGAAGCTTCTGAGTATTTCAGTTTGAGGGTAATGTGATTCTGTTGGACTTGCTGGCTCATTTGCACTAAAGCTGAGTGGGAAGAAACATGCACAGGGTGATCTGCAGCACCACCAGCTTTCCTGGAAATAAGGCCAGCTGAGAGGTCAGGCAAAATAGCTGGGTTTACATCATTAGATCCATGACAGATGACAAGCTCTCTTGGAAATACATTTGGGAGGAGAAAGAAGAGGTGACAGTATTTTAATCCCATTACTAACAGGAGTGCTACTGCAGGAAAACCAGCTCAAATTCTGCTCACAGCCTGACAGAGGGAGCAGCTGAATGAGAGGTGGGTCAAGAGAGACGAGTCCTATAGGGGTCAGCCACAAGCTGTCAATTATTACCAGGACTAGCCCAATGCCAATTTCCATCCACAGAAATGTTTCCCGTGTTTTTTGACGGATCAGATGATTCAGGACATAGGGTCACACAAAAAAGCCAAATTAAGTTCCTCTTCCCTTACTGAGGTATGTACAGAGGGGCAGAGACAATCTCTAATAGCCAGTATTGGTTGATGGGAAAACATTTAATTCTTCTCCCACCAACCAATTAATTCAACACTTCTCCCTGTACAGATTTACTAAGTCAATATTCCTCTAAAAATTCTATTAATGTGGAATATTCAGTTTTCATTAGGAAAGCCATATCCCCATTCTTCTCTGCCCCCCCCTTGCCCCAGTGGGTGGTGTTATACGTGAGCCTGAGCAGTGCAGAGCCATCGTCCTTATCTGAATGTCAGTTGTGATGATGCAAAGGAACGTCAGACAGTTGCGTCCTGCCAACGTGTTCCTTGCAAGACAAGGGAGACCAGCTGCCTGACCTCTGCTGGTTCATCCTGCGATCTTTCTGCAATGGCTACAAGGGGCCAGTTACTGTCACCCGTGGGAAAAGACGTGAAGGCAGCCGCTGGTTCACATTCCATTTTCCAGCTATGGCAAGCCAGCTGCACATCAGCTTATTGACAGAGCAAGATCGTTCACTTAAAGAACCAGCTTTCACCCCCACCAGTCCTGCTTGACTCCAAAATAACCCAGTATCTGAGCCTGCACTGCCTTGCATTCTTGGGCTCACCATAATATAGAAATATATTTTTAAAAGCCTAGAACAAGATACAGGTCATCCATTTCCAAGACAAGCAAGAAGAGAGAAGACCAAGAGCAACTGCAAGGAGAGATCAAAGGAACTAAAGCCCATCACAAGCTTCATCACCTTTTACTCAGAAGGCCCAGTCCCCTAAAGCACCCTGCTCTAACCTGAAAAGTATTCAGGCAGCACGTGCTATTTATAACTGTGTGCAAGCACCTCCAGCCACAGCAGCCTGCTGCTCCTCTGGCTCTGGAAAAGGAGAAGAGCTGAAGATCAACCACCTAAAAGCAATGTTAGCCGGGCAGCTAGGAAAACCCTCAGCCACAGCTAAAAGCTCCAAGATTAAACAGAAAGGCTGCTTCAAGCCTGTGCTGTGCATGAAGACCACCACAAGGGTTAAACAACGCACAGCAGGAGGGGTGACAAGCAGGGAGGAAGGGCCTCTGCAGACCCACATCTTCAGCCGCGGGGCTTTCGCACTAAGGGCACCATGATGTTCACCTGTTAGACCACACTGACATCAGTTTTCCAGACAGCAAAAGGACAGCTGACCCATAAAGTATTTCAAGTGGAAAAAAAAACCCCTAAGACAGAAACAAAAATAGGAGCAGAGCAGGCTGAAGAGGGAGAGGGGCATTCTGGACATTCCAGTCAGCAGCTCCTGTGACTGCGGCTCACAGATGACACTGCAGCTACCTCTGGAAGAGCTCCATGTAGGCACAAAGATCACCCTCTGCGCCAGGGACATTCGTGCTCCCTGGCCAGGGCAGCAGCAAACAGGATGCAAGCTTGAAGGAAAGGCTCTGCAGCAGGGACGGAAAACAGAGGATGGCACAGATACGGATGGATGTAGGGACAGCATCTCCTGTCCCTGATGGTAGGAAACACACACAGGAGAGGTCACACCCCAGGCTGCAGATGCCATACCTCGCCTGGACTAACGGAGCAGCCAGGGAACTGTGCAGATCCCTGCTAAACCTGCTTCTCCTTCAGCACCAACAAGAATTCAAATAGACTGCTTCCTACGCATCAGCAACATGTGAGGCACTGCTCCTCTCTCCTCAGCCCCATTACCCAGCTAAGGCTCTCCAGAGTGGCCAGACATACCAATACCAAATGCTTCAAAAGGAAGCCAGCTACCAGAAGGAAGCACAGGTCCTTCTGGCATTCCTCCAGCACCTGAGAGCACAACGCCTTGTTAGTTTGGGATGGTATGACCAAGCTATTTCAACTGCAAAATGTTCTGGACTGGAGCCAGATCCTGTGTACCTTAACCAAGGACCTCATCCTGGAGCTGTTGAAGTTCTGCTTAGCTACCTGTTGGAGCAATGTTTGTGTGATGCTCTGCACAGATGCTCCCTGCAGGAGTCCCCAGCCACGATCTCCACACTTCACTTTCAGATAGCTGCTGAGCATCACTGGAATTCTCATGTTTCCCACTGGTAGATCCCAGTTGAATTTAGGAATAGGATGAGCCAGGAGGAATTTACTATCATGAGCTCTCTCAGAGTTAATTTAGCTTGGTTCCCTGTCCCTTGCTATTTCAGCTGTTCCTATACCTCATCCATGGAGGAGCTAAAAGCCAGACTCTAAGGATGAGCATGGGTTTCAG